AAAAAAAAACACGACGGAAAAATTGGTTTATTATAAAACACGCCTAAATTTGACGTAACGAAATGTTTGTTTGCCTCATTGTAAGCTCATTTCTTATTTATGGCTTATGTCGTATTTGTTCAGATTTTGTTCGGTTAAGTAATCAGGCGCTTTTGTAATGGATAAATTATATCATCTAAGATATACGATACTAATTTCAATACTAATTTCAACCACTTATTTAATTTAATTCATTTATCAAATTAAGCATTGCATAATATTATCATGGTTAAGCTTCCTGAACGAAAACTTGGGAAGAGCTCTACGCTTGCTGCAAACGTTACAAATATATTCGTCAAATCTGCTTAGAGGATTCTTAGGTGAGACACAGCGTGCGCAGAATTGTCCCAACAACTTCTTTACTCTAAGTTCATCTGCCAGGGTCTGGTTAGCTAGGATGGTAGCAGTGAAGTCCTCAAGATGTAGGTTTTTCAGAGTGTCCTTCTTTAGTTAGATGACCATAAAGGCTAAACGATCTTTATCTACTCGAGTTTGAAGTTAGAGTTGTCCTTCTCTTAGGATGATTATCGGGAGGCTAGCAAGCACATCTTATCCGTGGACATACTTTGTCTGATCCTCAGTTGAGACCTGTTTGGCATGAAAGATCTTACTGGGGGCATAAATCCCCGCCAGATGTCTTGCATCTCATATGGGCACGCAAACTTCTTCCTCGCAACAACGGTTCTCCTGGAGAAGATAGCATAATATAAAGAGTAAATAACTCATTTTTATGCATCCATCCTAGTGTAAAAAGCATCGTATTTTTGTTAATCATTTCCGGAAGAGGATATGATAATGCATAACTATTGATTAAAAACATTTAACAAAAGCAAAATGTGGAATATTGTTGGAAGTGAGAATTTGCAACTGTTATTCCGTGAAATTCCAATTGTCCCTCCGATAAATGAGAATTTCAATGGAGATTTCAGGATGGATGAAAACTGGATGATCTTTGCATTTCCATTCACTATCATTAACATGCAGGATACCATAAAGTATTTCATTCCTGTTGAAGTTCTTAGACTCCTTAGATATTATTTCAAAATTGTGTTTTTTATTATATTATTCTCCCTACAATCTAATGACTGATTATCTATAATTTTGAAATTTAATTTGGCGAAATAGAATTTGAAAAGTCACACACTTCGGCATATTCTTCCACTCATAACATATTTTTGGAATTCAAAAAATTGTTTCGATTTGAAGACATGGAGAAAAAAGGATTGTATATAGCATTTGTTGTGTCGCTATGCTATGGAATGTAGCTGTTTTGAATTATGCATTTTTATTTTTTTAATTTCTGTGGAAGAATTCAAGAAAATCCAATCTTTGCGATCGACGAAATACAACTAAGGAATGGCAAAGTCTCGTATCGAGACTTATCAGTTTCATTTAAATGATAGTAGGACTGAGGAAAACTGTTCACGTTACTATTTTTACTAATTGTCGCTAAAATCGCGAGGAGAAGCAGTGAATCAATAATTGCTTCGATACTGCTGGTATAATGTATTGTATGTATAAGTCTTATTAGTATTGTAATTGTTGAATTCATTTCTGTATTAACCAACTCATAGGAATAAAGGTTTAATTACCCATGTTTGAAGTACTATCAACTAAAGAGGTAGAAAGAACCCTCCGTTTTTGTCACGGTTGGAGAAAATCGGCAACAAAAGGAATTGAATTCCATCATGTAAGATCAGCAAGTAATTTTTTTTTTCCAAAGTAAACGTTTGCAGGCTATACAGTGTTGACTTCTGTTCTGCCCCTTTGGATCCAATAAGTACTTTTCATTGTTGATAGCATGTGACCGACTCCAGTATGAAACAGATTTTCGTGATAATACATTATAAGGAGTCTGGTTATTATATTGTGCCTGGGTAAATAAATGGGGTATTTACTGTTTTCACCTAATTTCGAGTTTTCTGATCGACTCTTCCATTTCCATACCTTTTCACGTTCATCATAATAAAGATTCCATTTAGCTATTTCATCGTCGTGGATGCCTTCGAACTGTGCTTGTCTGACTAGTATTCATCGAGGTATGACAACTTTCATTGTCGAGTGTGATCCGAGATCGGGGTTTAACCATTCTAATCTTTTACCTGTCATGCGTTTGATGAATCTAAGTGTAAAAATGGTTACCCCTTGTTAGTTTAGACCATTTACTGAATCTGCTTGCATCTATGAACGAAAGTGGTTGTTTCTTGACAATTTGAGTAATCAAATTAGCGTTAATCCACTGGTTTCCATTTCTTCGTCACTGTCCTGCTCTTCTGCTTGGAATTCACATTGTGACCATTCGTTTTCCTCTTCTTTTAGCCAGGATGGTCCGTACACCACGAATTAAATTTCATGAGGTCGGTAGGAGAAAGTCCCTTTGTAGCAAGGTCCACTGGGTTTTAATTGTCAGGATGTAACGGAAATTAAATTTTGCTTTCCGAATTTCTTCGACTCCATTCTGGATGAATTTTGGGTGTAATTTAGGAGTTTTTTATCCAATGCAATGCGCATTTCAAATCCGACCATAATGTTACTTTTGCGTCTTCTAACTCGAGTTTTTTAAGTACAAAGTACAAATTGTACTGCCCGTACTCCAATGAGAATCGCCAGCAGTTCTAATCGTGGTATGGTTAATCCTTTAATGGATGAAGTGCGGGATTTAGCATAAATTAAAATTGGATCCTTATCGTTCATTCCTTTGTGAATGTGTATATTGCTGTTGCGTACGCCAAACTTGAAGTATAGTAAATATATGAATCTCCATTCGACTTACAAGTCAGATTGGTTATAAATCGAGGTAATTGTCGTATATGTGTCCTCTTGTCCTTCGTGAGAGATTTCCATGTCCGTTGATCTTCATTACTTATTTGATCCCAGGAATAGTTTTTCTTCCATGAATCTTGAAGAAATAATTTAAACCTTATCATTACGGGAACTAAAAATCCCAAAGATCATACTGTGAAGCAACGAATTGAAGAATAGTTCTTTTAGTTAATTCATTGTTCGTTCATGGCTTCAGCGTGACGTGTATAATATCTAATTTGGGGAAACACACAATACCTAAAATCTTTTTGGCATAGAGATTTGCTCGATCTTGCTCGGGTATAATTTCATCATTTGAAAGAAACTCCCTTATATTCATTGAGGCATCCTCGAAAATATTTTTTCACAGTATTTTTGTAAGGCTTCCTCAGTTCCGTTCGCAGATATCAGAACGTTATCTGCATAAAGATTTTTTCTTACCTCTAACGTCGTTTGACTACCATTAGATTCCAAGTGATAATTGATGGTAGCTGATAATAAAAAGGGAGATGATATGACTCCAAATGGAACTCTTTTGAAGTGATAACATTATAGATTTTCTTCAGTAACGTCCTTGGTTATATCTTTTAACCAGAGAAATCTAGCGCAATTTCTGTCCTCAGGATGTAATTCGATTTGTAAAAATGTCTTTTCTATGTCGGTTGTGATTACCTGTGTCATGATTCGAAAGCGTAATAATATTCCCACAATATCTGGAACTGTTATCGGTCCACGATATAATACCTCATTTAAACTCTTCGATCCCTTCACGTGTGTTGATGCGTCGTAAACAACTCTCAATTTAGTTGTATCTTTGTCAGGAGTCAGCACATAATGGTGAGGCAGATAATATATAATGCCTACCTTGTCCATATGAGGTTCTACCTTTTCAATTGTATCCGAGCGCAATTGTTCCTGGATTATTTCGTGATATTGTTCCAGTTCTTGTTGACGGAACTGAAGTCGTCCGATCAAGTTTCTCAGTCGGCCATAGCATATTCCGTTATTTTTCCTTAATTTAGCGGAAGATTCTTTCTATGGCCAACGTACTTGATATCTTCCATTAATTTTAATGATATTCCTTTTGAACTGTTCCAGCGCTTGTTCGTCATCATGATCGTAAGGTTGTTCTTGTATTTCGATGCATTCTAATTTCCAGAACTGATCTATATTTGGAACACGACGCACACTAGCAATATACTTAAATTTAACTGGATTATGCGTAATTTGTTTAATTTCTTCGAGATATCCACTTCCGCAAATCATGGGACCCAAATTTGTGTGAAGTGAGGAAAATCCTGAATTCAATCGTTGAATCTTCTCTAGTTGTATAAATTTGAGGAAGTAGTCGGCTCCGATCAGTATATCTGTCTTTTTCTGGTAGAAAGTTAATCCTTCTAATTGGTGATTCTTTTCCATGACGGATGGTATGTCCACGACTTGAATTTCACCCATCAAATAGTCGAGTACATTTACTTTGCAGAATATTAGCCCTTTATTCTCATTTCTTATTCCAATTAGTGTCTTCACTGACGTCTGTCATCGAAGGTAGATACCTTTAATTCCTTTAACTTTATTTCTTCAAGTTGTAAACAATTTGCTAATTCAACGGAGACGAAGCTTACTTGAGAACCAATATCAAACAATAGTAGAGCTTCTTCGTGATATTCAGTTCTTTCCGCATTGAATACAGTAACCATTTTGCATAGAAGTAAAACTTTTTTTTTCGGTGATCGTGTTTATATTAACTGTTCCATTATCCGATTGGATCTCTCTCTCTTGCATTGGTATATTTCCGGTTTGCTTGAATTGTTCCCATTATGGCAGAGGGCACTGTTGTGTGACCCTTTACAATAAAAATATTTCATCGATTTTTTGCAATCTATCTCTGTGTGTCCAGCTTTGAGACATTTCTTATAAGAATTTTAATGAGGCGTTCTAATCTTTGTTTGAAGGTAGGATAAGTTTCACACTCACTATCCCAATGATCTTTGCCACAAAACGGGCAAGGTCTTCGTTTATTGTTTCTGCCTAACCCTTTCGGTTTGGAAATATTCTTAAATTCAGCTGGTCCAGATTAACTGATTGTTTACAATGCAGTAGTTTCTTTTTGGACATTTCGTTGCAAACGTTTGGATTTGAACTTAGCGAATTGTTGTTCGCCGTTGGTTGAGGCTTGACTTCTAGTTACTTGGTCATTTCTTTTTACTAATCTTCTAAGAAACTGTCTAAATTTTGTAACTGACCAAGTGTCGTCGTCACCGTTTTGTTGATATACTTTATCCAGTACCCATCCTGGTAGTTTGCTTTCAATGACGGTCTCAATACTTGAATGTTCGAGATTTTCGCCGATAGCTTCTAGTTGGCGAAGAATTCTTTCGATTGATTCGATTATTGATTTCCATTTGCGATCGCATCTTTTGATCGCATGTAGTTCGTTGTAAAGAGACTTCTTAATAGTAAAAGTCTCTCTAAATTTTTTAACCAAGACCTTCCTTATAACTTGATAATTTTCTGGTGCAATATCATAGCTTCTTATGGCCTTTAACGCTTCTTCCCTCAAGCAGGAAAATCGATAATTTAATTTTTGTATATCGGGGGATTGTTTGAGAATGTACAGCAGCTTCAAAACTGCTCCGAAATTCCATTTTTTTAGAGTTTCCGCTGAATATTGGCAGCGGTAATTGCGGTAAATTTATGGTCGATAAAGAAACGGTTTTAATTATATTTTGTTGAGTCGATTCTTTGGGTTGTGTTTTCGTTTGTTCAACTATTGATTCAAAATCCTTTTTATATATTTCTAATACAACAACAGCTTTTTTACCTTCAGTTATTAAATGTAAAATACCTTTTTCGTCGTTTCGCATCGTAGACCATACGAGCGTATTCGTCTTCTTTGTTTTTTTTTTTTTTTTTTATGAATTGAGTATCGTACTGATACAATCCAACCATTTTGCATTCACTGATTCCAAATGACCAATGTGTATTTCGAAATGTCGTAGTTTTCCTTCGATTATTCTTTCTTTGATTTCATATTGTTGACGTAATTCTTCCAACGGCAGTAGCTGATTCGGTGGAGACAAATCTAGGTTTCGTACTTCCTTCAAGAGTTTAATTAGCTTCGTTGTTGCGAGTTGTGCGCTTTTTCATAAGCTTGTCGACATGACGCTCCCGGTTCGTGGCACCAAAAATTGTCGTGAAAGTTTTTGTTTGTATGTGTTGGATGGCAAAAAAAAGGATTTGTTCAGTAGTAGAAGAATAGCAATTACAATAACACAATATTATTTGATAGTAAAATTAGGAGATGGAATTAGGATTACAGTCTATTTAAACCGTCAATCAAAGGTCAAGTTATACGAGACAAAGCAGGCATTTTCGGTCTTCAATGAAAAGATATTTTTGAACGATCGAATCAATGCATGCTAGAATGCGTTCAATTGGGGTTTTTATATTGCCCCCAAGTGGGTTGGGCTTAAGATAATAGTTCCATTTAAGGTTCTTAGCCGACAATAATTTCACTGATACAAGAAACAAAGGATTAGATTTTTCTGTAAGAAGAGAAAATCGCCAAAAATCTCAATATCGAAGGAAAAGATATTTTTACCGATTGGCCTTAGACAAAACTCATCGCTTTAGATATAGAAAACGTTTACATATTATTTGTATAATGTGATGAGTCTTTATAACAGAAATGTTACAAATTCTTTAGCTGTTTGGATGTTTTACCATTTCCGATACCTTCGGTTTTCCCGATATCTCCGTTGTTAAGGAGCTTTGTACCGATGGCTTTTTTAGAGATCCTCTAACTACTCCAACCACTCTTTCGTAAACGCCATCCTGCCAGGGGGCGCCTGGAGTAATGTTTATATGCGTATATCGTCTTATTTTTGCGCTAACAAGGAAACAATGTGCGCTCGAAGAACACTATAGCAATGTGCGCTCCATAAGGTAGCTAATTCTTGTAATCATAATTTGTAAATCATAAGACGGTACAAGGTCCTCCCACAAAAGGAAGTGGAGGGTCAAGCGTCAAGCGTCAAGTCATTTTACAAACGTGTTTCATCGAGGTCGGTTGGATATACGCGTCATTTGGTCGCTTTTGCTCTTAGTTGGTTTCGTCATCAGTTTGTTGTATCGTTATCGTAAGTGCTAAGTTCGTTGTTGTATTAATAAATTTATCGTAATAAAAGGTTTAATTACCCAAGTTTGAAGTACTATCAACTAAGGAGGCAGAAAGAACCCTCAGCCTTTGTCACGGTTGAAGAAAATCGGCGCCAGGTCTAAACCAATTGTCTCAAACGGTCGCGTTCCTACAACTCTAACCGCGAGACGAGGAGGAAAGTCTGGTTGCTCAAATGGCGTAGCCACCCACATAGTGTAACCTTTACAAATCCTTCTCAAAATTTTCTTAATATATGTTCGCCCATCCATGATCCAATACCGTCGTCTCATCTTGCTCCAGGTGCAGTGCACGCTCGCATGAAATAATTTATGGTCATGTTTCACAATCAGTTCCACTAGCTTTCCTTTATTGATGAAATATAGAAAATCCTCAATTCGATCCATAGCCTAAGTCTCCTAACACATCTCCAGATTCTAGTGTTCGATTTCCTTTTGCATTGTTTAACTGTGCCATCTTAATTACAATTGTATTACCCTGTCATATTCCTTAGATGTAAAATTCTCTCTTGAGAACCCTTTCAAATTTCTTATTTCCTCCTTTAACACCTTCGCAACGAATCGTAGGACGTATAATATCGTTCTTAGGGTTGGGAATCGTGTCTCATCAACACCGCAATTTCTTCTGACTGCATCGCTTCTTCCATCAATCCTATGGCCATACACTCATGATGTTTCCTTCCATAACTTTATCTCAGGCCATTTTTGCTTCGGCTCCCATAACCATGATGAACCATTCCGCCACTTCCCTGGGAGAAGTCCTTGTGAGACTTGGTCTGCTGGATTACTTGCTGATCTTGCATGACGGAATTCAATCTTATCTCATCAATTCTGTTTGAGACATATCGGGATCCTACCGGCGGTTTTTTAACCAGTGCAGGACACAAGCGCTACTCGTCCATAAATATACTTTTTCCGCATCGATTTCTTGTTTAATGAATTCCAGTACTCCTACTCCAGTTGTGACAGCGAGTAATCGAGCAATACTGGCTAATTGATTCCTGCTTTCTCGTTTCAGAACTAATCTTGTGTTTCCGTATATCAGTTGTGGTTTGGATGCAGTGATATTACTTCTACGTACATATACTGCTGGTCCCGCAGCTCTTTGGGATGCATC